AGTCGCGGGATAACGTACGGGGGCCTCGCCGTGGTCCTTCTCGGGCTTCTGGTACGACATTTTGAAAAGTTGTTGGAGGGGGTTTGTCCTTCACGACTCGAACGCGGGGAAACTGCGACGTTTCGGCAAAGTGATGAAGGCGCGATTTGGCGGTTGACGGGATGCAAGAGGAGCGTGCGAAGTCTGCGCGAACTTTTTGGTGGGGTGTTTTGCGCTGCGGTAGGGCTTTTGTGCGCGCTAGCCTGTTGTGGACAGCCCACGGTAACGAGGCATGGCAATTGGCTGAGTGGTTTCGACGTGGGTCTCCAGCACAGAGGTGAGCTTGGGAGGTACGTACCGTTATCATCTGCTGGAGCCTCACTGCCTTGGCGGGACGAAGCGCGGACCTCCACTCATTTGATGTGAATCATCCGGCGATGATGTAGACCAGCTGCTGAGAGCGCCTACTGCCACCCCAATCGCCCGTCAAACGAGAGAATGGCGACGTATTCTTGACATCAATCCAACACCCAAATCACCTTCCTCGGCGTCGCAGCAGCACGTCTCTCTCATTCTCGCCAGCTCCCCCTCCGCCGCCGCAATGCCCAGTTTACCCCCGCTGGCGCCGTATCCCGAGGCGTCGTGGCAGCAACGCCTGAGCACCCAGGATTGGGACACGCTCTTCGACACATGGATACTGCTCTGTCAAGCGTATCTTGCGCTTCCAGATGACGAGTTCCGGACAACAGCGGCCAACGATGAGTCCGTAGCGGCATTCGTGGCGACATATGTCACCGAAACGGCCGCGTCCCCGCCCAGCACGCCTTCTACGCAGCTTCCCCGGCTCGTCTTCCAACTCACGAGCCGCCTGCTCACCTTGGAGAAGCCGTCACATCAATTATTGCAGTATAGCTTCCTTTCCGGACTGGCCAAGCTATACCCGAGAAAGCGAGTGGCGCCTCTCATCGCCGACGTCTTTACGCAACATGCCGCGCTTGCCGAGGCATCACTTGCTGCGCTCAAGAAGCTTCTCATCCTCCACCTGGACTCGGGAATCAAGGGAGACCTAAAGCTGGTCGAGTCACATCTCAGCACGGTCAACTCGCTGCTGCATGCATCACCTCACGCTTGCACTCTGTTCCTTGCCGGATCCGACTTTTTCGACGGCCTCGTCACCTGCTTCAAAGTGATGAATCCACCGCTGCGCAAGGTCATCATAACAACGACGTATCTGTGTATTGTCGGGTTGACAGAGGCAGAACCGCCAAAATGGGCCATGCTCAGCGACGAGCTGTTCTCGCTCAAGAGCGCAGCGGACGCTCACAAGCAGGGCCCGCTCAACGTCAACGACTCCTTGGTTGCGGAGTTGGTGACGGCTACGCCACTCCTTAAAGTCCTCATCCGGAGAGCGGAAGACTCGACTGCCGCCTCTGACTCCTTGAAGAAACGCATCACGGCCTTGGAACCATTCAAAAAGGGCGCAATGGTCCGCCCGAAACGTCTCACCAAACGGAAATTGGACAAGGGCAAGGGCAAGGCCACGCAGCACGATGTGGACACGGAGATGCATGTGCACCGCATGAGCCAGATCACGCAGGTCCAGGACCTTTTCCCTGATCTAGGCGCGGGCTTCGTGTCGAAATGCCTCGACGAATATCACGACGACGTGGAGCAAGTCGTCGCAAATCTCCTCAGTGAATCGTTGCCAGCTCATCTAGCTAACGCGGATCGAAGCGAGCCGCTGTACGTTGTTCCAATCATTAGTCCCGTGACGACATCATTAACATATCTATAGGTCTGTCCGCCAGCAGCCGCCCGCCCCAGACATGGCTCCCCGCCCGACACCACCTCTGGTACCAACCAGACGCAACGTTTTTGATGATGACGAATTCGATCGCCTGACCACAGATGTATCCCAAATATCATTTGGCAAGAAGCCGGGTAAAACAGCCGACGATGTGCTGAAAGATAAATCCACTGCACCAAACAAAGCAGCAATCCTGTCTGCACTGGCAACTTTTGACTCCGACGATGATGAACGCGACGACACTTATGACGCCGCCGATGTTGGCGGCACTGTTGATTCGACAACCCAGGAAGAGGAGAGCGTGAATGACAGAAACGAAGAAGCGCTATTCCGGGCGTACCAGACAGACCCCAAGGTGTTTGATAGAGACGCCGCTACACGCAGGGGCGCCACAAGAGCGGCCCTGCGGCAGGCAACGGAAATGGCCGACGAGGCGATCGAGGGATGGGCACTGATGCTGACGAGAAATCCTCAGCAAAAGAAGAGGCTGGAGCTCAAGTACGCCTTCAGCGGACAGCAGGCGCAGCTGGAGCGAACGGCCTGGAGGGGCAGCCCTGCCGGGTCCGGAACTGAAGACAGCGATGCCGATGCCGGCGCGGGTCGAGGAGGTCGAGGAGGCCGAGGCAGCCGAGGCGGTGGTCGTGGACGCGGCAGGGGAAGAGGAGGCAGCGTCTCGGGTCCGACTGGCGAAAAGGAGACGGAGTCGGCGAGGAGAAACAAAGAGGCGCACAAGGGATCGCGGGCCAACCACAACCGCAGAGACGCCCGAGCCAAGAAGATGGCCCGCGGTGGGTTCGCTGGCTAAGTGTGCCGCAAATCAGCCTGCCTTTTGTCGTTTCGAAGAACCTGCTACGGCTGCGGATGGGAAGGGGTCCAAAGGTGCCGAGCGTTTCTTGGAGCCTGGCGTGTCGCCGAAGCCGGGCCTTAGGCCGAGGTCCAAGCCGTCGTCGAGGTCTAGGGACTGAGGATACGGGCTCCGGATGTCATTGGCAATGACGGGCGTGCTCGGTCCTGGCCGTGCCTCCGTCGGGGACATGACGGACACGATGTTGCGGAACGACGCCCCGACCTCTTCCACGCCGGTGCCGCGGTACTCGTGCGGCGTAGCTAGCTCCTCCGCCTCAACAGACGTCAGATCTGGATCGCCTTCGGCCACACACATGACCACGCTTTGGAACGAAGCCCTTGAGCTCCTGCGCGTGTCCAGATACGTTCGCAGATCGTAGCACTGTCGGCACGAGGGATACACGGCGTATCGGTCCGCCTCGTCGCGATGCTGTGGGAGCTGTGGTCGACTGCCCAGCCCGCACTTTTCCTGGATGTCGTCGAAGATGTCCGCAATCGGCGTGAACCATGTCTGACGGATGCCCGCGCCCCAGTACTGGTTCCGACCCCAGAGTTGGCCGACAAGGCAGTTCGTCTCAGTGTCGACAATGACACCACCACTGTCGCCCTCGACGCCAATGCCACCTCGGATCCACTCGTCTTCGTTGTCTCCGGGAGGCTCCTCGACAAACCACTCTCTCGTGAGCTTGCCCGTGCCGTAATACTCGGGGCTGACGTACGCCGGACATTCACATATCTGTCCATGCTGGTATCCAGACGTCCGGCCGCTGGAAACCACCATGCTGCCAGGAATGACGCCGCGGGGACTGCCATCGACCGACGTGGAGTTGACCAGCGGCTCGTGAGCAGGTGGCTGCGTATCCGAAGGGAAGCGACGCAGCATGTTGGCCCCGCGAGTTGGCTGGGCAGCCGAGATCAACGCCCAGTCCGTTATGACGAGGGGACGGTCAACCAGACTATCGTCCCAGTACGGATCGTGTGAGATTCGAGTCGTCTTGAGATCGATGCCTGAAGTGGCACGGACACGGCCGAGTGAGAAGTCACCGACAGCATCCAGCGCGTCGTGGCTTTCTCTGGTGCAGAGAGCCCGGTCCTCAGGGGACGGATGCTGGACCACGATATCGAGAAACTTGTGGTATGCTTCCTCGAACGGATGGAAGTTGGCCAGCCAAAATTGCGCTCCACCGAAGTGGATGCAGGGACCAAGAGTTGCCGTGCTGTCGTGGACGCTGCCGTTCCCACGTATGCCAATGCTGTCGCCCATGCACGGGTGTGGAAAGTGGAAGGGGTTTCTGGGCGCGCACACTTCGTCTTTGTGACCCGCTCCGAGGCCTCTCGGCCACCTCCTGGAGCGGACAATCTCGCCGACGGTGAAGACAAAGGACACGCTCCATTTGAACCTTTCGGGCAGCAGGTCGACGACGTGGCCCGCGATGATGATCTTGCGAGCGCGGGAGATCTTGGTAGGCGTCATGATGCATAGGCGCCTCGTCTGTGGCGTCCGGCCTCTTGCCACACTAACAACGTGCCGCGGGTTGGTCCATTTGGGCAGAAACTCGGCCAGGAACGGCAGGACTGCGTGTTCAAAGACGAGCGGGAAAGATGCATTGTCAATGATCCTGGATGCTCGGGCGCGGACCAGATCTGTTGGAGAGTCGGCGTTCCGAGGCGTCCCCACGTTACTCCTCTTGACCTTTTTCTCGACAATGTTGCGGAGCTGTTCGTGGCATTTTCGCTTCGCGAGGGCGACGGCCAGCATTTCCTGCTCGACGGCCGCCTCTTTCGGATCGGGGGGTGGCATCGTGGACGACTTGTTGCTTTCATTCGACGAAGAGCGGACCATGACTTCGGCGGCCTTCGGCTTTGGGAGTTGCCAGTCTTTGATGTCGTCCTTGCTGGAGCGCGGATGCGCCACGACAATGTGTGATCGCACCATGCGAATGTCGGCAAAGTCGGTCTCCATGCAACCTGGCACTGGACAGACGAGCAGATGCTGCTCCTTGACGTGCCACGCCAGTGCATCGCGAGAGACATGACTGGGATTACGGCACCCTTGCCAGTAGCAATCGTGGGCGTGGTTCTCCTGGACATGCTCCGTGAGATCGTCTTGAGACGCAAAGGACTTTAGGCATTGCGGACCCAAGCAGACAAGGGCATCATCCGGGACCGCCGTCTTCTTATCGTCTATCGAGAGCGGGCTGGCGCAGCGCGACATCTCCCTTATTGACGTGACGGTGGCACTGTGTTCCGTTTCAACAGACGACATGGTCGACCCGGCGGACGAGGGCGTGTCTATGCTGGGGCTGCTGAACGCCTTGAAGTGCCGCTGTACGGAACGCATGCGCACAGGGCGTTCGACTCGGAGCGGCTTCATGACGTCCGGCTCGGACGAGCATTCCGCGCCGGGAAACCACAGGCCCGCGTTCCACACGACATCTTGTGGCGGCAAGTCGCAGTATCCGGAGGGGGTGAAGCCGAAGCTGTCGCACTTGTCGGGCTGGGCGTCGGCGTAGGACGGGAACGAGTTCGAGGCCGCCAGCTCATGACCAGAGAAGCTGCTGCTGGAGTCGTCGACGACGGAGATGCCGGGCAGGCACAGGCTCGGGCACGGATCGGGGGTCAGCTGGATGAAGGACACCGGAGAGGCCCCCGCGGAGGCGCCGTACGTCCATGACGGCGAGACGGGCGACGCGCTGCTGTTCTGGTACGGCGAGCTGGCGGGCGGCTTGAGGCAGTCGTCGGCCAGCAGCGGGACCTGCGACGACACCGTGGAGCGACGGCTGCTCGCAGCGCTGCGGACCGCGCTACCGCCCGACGGCGACGGGTGGTAACCTGGAACCGGCGATGCACGTGGCGAGGGCGTCGGCGAGGGCGTTGGACCGACGACGTGCAACGCCGGCGGCTGGAGCAGGTCCGGCCGCGACATGGCCACCGACGGTGCGCGGCCGAAGTTGTTGGACGATGATTACACCACCACCGTCAACAGACCCGATGAGCGAAGATGACGTTGGCGAAGGTAACGGAAGACCGACAAAAGTCGACAAAGTATACAGAGCAGCCAACGGCCCGAGAACCGGGCTGTGACGCTCCCGTCGGCCACACGACCGCCTGACTGAGGAGCAGGACGGCTGAGCAGCAGCAACCGTAACAGCAGCAAGCGTAGTCAGCCGCTGTCTGCGAGAGGAGAGCAAGTATAGAAGGCAAGGCAATCGAAAGAATCAGGGACAACAAGCCAACGCGCTGCCTCGCCAAGAAAGTGACTTGACATGACACCAAGGCGTGGCATTCTACCCGCCGCCGTCCCGACCGACCGTGGGTTATGCCCGTTTCTTAATAAAACGAGGCAACCTCACGCACAAAGAAGGACCGGGGGGGGGCCTATGCACGCCAGCTGCTGGGCGGGTTGCCTCGCGCGGCCTCCCATGGCGAACCAACGGATGACGGACCGCACCGCACCGCACCCCAGGGCTGGGCTGGGCTGGGCTGAATCCTTCGCTCTTCCCACTCAAGTACAGTGCGTGCATGCGTGCGTGCGTGCGTATGACACAGGCCCCAGCAGCCGGTTCGCTCCCTTTTTTTTTCTGGCCCCCAAGCGGTCTGGTTCAGGTTCCAGTCTGGTGCCGGGAGGCCCGAACGGCGGAGCGGCCCCCAAGGACATACTGGCTTGGGGCAAAAGCTGCACATTCGGCAGCGGCGGGTTGCTGGCTGACCGAGAGGGAAAAGAGGGGTAATTAACTAGTTGGTTAGTTGTTACGAAGGACAAGGAGGGAGGGAGGGAGGGAGGGAGGGAGGGAGCGAGGCTTGACGATGACTCTTCTCTTGGGTTTCTCCTCGTCCGCCCTGTGTTCAGAACGCGTAATGCCTGCGTATAGAGGAGCACATGCCGCGGGCCTAATAGTGGTTGTACATACGTACTTTCGGCATCTATTGCTGAATCAGGTTCCCCAAAGCTGGACCTCATCGGGCTGTGGTTAGCAAAACACGTCAAACAGGCATTTGTAATGCACGCTCTGTATCTCAACGACATGTGTAATAGCCGTCATGTCAAAAGCCTATGCTTGCTGGGAATGACCTGCCGCTGCGGCGGCACAAACTGGCAGTCCTTGATTGGAGCCCTGACCTGGCGGCTATTCGTCAAGTCCGCCGTGGTTCATGCCACTGCGGTTCATGCCGCCGTTGCGGTTCGTGTCGTGCCGTGTCGTGGCCACGTCTGTATGGAGCGACACGCACGGCTCGTTCCGTTGATGCAGGCGTGCGCCTCGCCCGGATATGATTCGCGAGCCTCGCCTTTGCAGGAACGTACATGTTAGGTACTGAGCCTCACTCGCGATTTCATTTTCACGAGAACAGCGAAAGACGGCGACTTGCGACATCAAGTGTATTATGTACACGACTCATCTCGCCTATCAAGTAGCTCGTAATGCAACATGTGTTTCTTCACGGTAATGCAGCCAGTTGTAGCCCCCCCAAACTCCTCCAAACTCCAGATGCAGCAGACAGAACTATCACAACCCAGCATACACGCCGTCGACAACGTCCGCCAGCATCCTCAGCTGGTAGTACTTGGCCACCCTCCTCGTCACGCCCAGCCTGCGCGTCACGTCCTCGCGCGCCACAACCTCCTTCCACTCGCCGCTGCACGTGCAGTGCTCCATCAGGTCGTTTACGCGCAGCGCGCCGCAGCGCGCGCACTTGAGGTCCTGCGTCGCCCACTCGACGAGCCAGGCCTGCACCATGCCCACGAGCCGCTCCTCGATGGCCACCCGGTCGTACTCGCTGCCGCACAGCGCGCAGCTCCACGCCTGCGCGTCGGCGTCCCGCCCGCCGCCCCGGAGAAGGTCCTCGTCGCGGCACAGGTCCAGGTCGCGCGCCATGGTGCAGCTGTCGCACGAGAGCTGCGGCAGCTTGAGGCTCTCCGACGGGTTGGCGAACGTGCCATCCTTGGAGAACTCGCGCACCTCAAACAGCGCGAGGAGCTCCTTGCGCAGGAGTCGCGCCTCGAGCGTGATGTTCTTGTCGAGCGAGAGGACCTGCATGAGCGACTTGACCAGCTCGAGCACCGGCCCGCCGCGGTGCTGCAGGTGCGAGCCCGGCAGCACGGGGAACGAGTAGTCCTCGGCGAGCTCCGGATGCATGAGCTCCCGCTTCTGCTGGTTGACGAGCCCGACGATGGCCTTCTTGAGAGGCTTCTCAAACGCCTTGCCCAGGATGATTTGCTCCCCGTCGAGCTTCTCCATGTTGCGGTTGGGCAGCTGCGTAAGGCGCGGAGTCGAGTCCGGATCTCCCGCCGCCGGTCGCTTGAGGGAGTGCATGAGCTGGATAAACTCAATCACCCATTCCTGGAACACCGGCTGCAGCCGCACGGGCAGGAATGTTGCCATCTGCCAGTGCATAATGGTCTCGAGATTCTGCTCCTCGGCCTCCACCACCTCCTGGCACGCCTTGCCGCCATAGTTGAACTCGTCGTACCACACCAGATAGTCCCAGTACTCCTTGATCTCGAGGTCGATGAAGTGGAAGAGCGGCTTGCTCTTGATCGACTTGATGATGTACTGGCTGTAGGCAAAAGCGTTGCCGACCTCGGCCTTTGTGGTCTGAAGGATGAGACGATTCGCGTTGGCAAAGACAACCTGCGAGCCCACGCGCCGAAAGTCTGCCATGAGCTGCTGAAATGCCTTGCGGGACATCATCTGCACATAGTAGTGCAGCGCGCGGTCGTACATGAAGGAGTCGGGGTTCTCCACCCAGCGGACGAGGTGCTGTACGAGCACGTCGGCCATGGTGCTGCCCTTGCACGCCTCTGCCCACCAAGCCTTGACCATCTCTCGCAGCACCAACACGCCGGCGTTGGCAAATGCATTGTCGGATGCCAGGGCCTCGGAGCCGTCCGCCGTAGGGTTGAAGGACACAGAATCGGCTCCCTCGAGCTCGTTGATGAGCGACGAGGTCAGGATGGTGTTGATTGCCAGGTTCCGTACATCCAGGTCGATGCACACGGAGGAAAATGTGCCGGGGTTATTAACGCTAGGCATTTTGACCGTGTCCAGAGGGCCGACGATATCGTCGTTCTCGTAGCCGGCATGGTCGGGACGAGCGCCGGCAGACCACCAAAGCACGACCCCGTTGGCCTGGAGTCTCCGGGCGTAGGCAATATCGATGAGGAACCGTGGATCCTCTCGCTCCAAGTTGCAAAGAGGAACGTCTCCGTACCGAGCAAGGGCAGTCAGATGCAGAATCCAAGATCCCAGTCCTAAGTAGTGCCCGACCAGGCGGCGGGCAACTACTGATTGCCATCCCAGAGGAGGCAGCGAGCTATCCGTCGCATCGTACTTTAGTGGCAGGACCGGGAACTCGCCCAGGATCGGCACGTCGTGGACGAGAAGATTGCGCTGTGAGGACTGGATGACCATCATCTGTGGCCTGGACTCGTCCTTGCGCATCTTCTTGACAATGTCGCCAATCTCCAGATGAGCCTTTCGTCTTGTCGTCACCTGTGTGATCTTGAACGTGACCCGCTCCTGGTAAGTGAAGCAGTCCTGCCAGTTCGTTCCGGCCGCTTCCTGCGCTCGCGCCGCCAGCATCTCCGAGTACATTCTCGTGACATTGGGCAGGTCTTGTCCAGAGTCTCTGTTCTTCTGAAGAATGACAACATGCGCTTGATCGCCGGTCGTGGAGAAAATGCCAAAGATTTGTCGCTCTCCCGCGGTGATGTGCGAGATGTAAATGTACGCCAGAGGAGAAGACTCCAGGTACGTCCGCGTCTTGAGTGGCCGCTTGAGGCCGTTGAGGTCGAAGCCAGTCTCCAGGCCCTTGCCAAGAACACCTTGCTGCTCTTCATCAATAGTACACAGATTGCCCAGCTGGAGCACCGCTCGAATGTTGAGCGGCACCTGCTTCTCGTACACGCCCTCCACGCTTGAATGGTTGAAGAGTAGCGAAAACTTTTCCGCTTCGTTGAAGTAGACGTCCTCTGGCACCGTGAGCTTGAAGAGATGGCTGGACGGGTGCCCGTTGGGGAGCGTATAGTTGACCTGCTCGACATCGCAGCCGTCGATCTCAATGTCCGGCAGCTCCTTGCTCTTCAAGTTGAGGAAGACTTGGCGAGGGACCTTGATCTTGATTGTGTGGATCTTGCCGTCAATCAAGATGTGTGCAGTGACGATGCCGGGGCTGTCCGTGGCCTTGAGGTGAAGCAGCTGCCACGTGCTCATGAAAGTCAGATGGGCCTGTTTCCTGAACGTCTGCTGAATGTTGCTGTTCCCTCCAGCGACGCCTTTTCGTTCGCCAAACAGCTGGCGCCGGCGGATTCGCGCCTGCTTCTGGAGCTTCCACTTCTTCTTTTGGTACTGTAGGAAGGCTGGGTAATCATCCGAGGGCCCTGGCATCTCTTTCGGCAGCGCGACCATGAGGTCAGCGTTCTCGACTGGTTCGGGGGACTTGCGCTTCTGCGCCGTGGGAGCTGGCTGCGAGGACGCAATCGCCGCGCTGACAGTCTTTGGTTTCAGCAGCTTGGCTCCAAAGTCCTCCATGTCGTCCATGCGAGCCCCGTTGATATTTGTAATATCTCCGAGCGGCTCCTTGCTGAACAAGTCGGTGAGCTTCTTCTGCTTCATCTTGTCGTCTTTGATGTTGATTCGCCGCTGAAGCCAGTCGGGGTGCGGCACGCGCGGGACCGGGTTGCGGACCTTTTGCAGTGCGGCCGGGATGGTGATGAGCTTCTGGATGACGGAGCCCAAGCGCTCGAGGTAGTAATCCCAGTCGAGAAGCGCTCGCGGATCAGTGTCGGCGGGTTCCTCCTTGAGCCACTTCTTGAGATACGTTCTCTTGATGGTCTCATCGGCCGAAAATATGGCAACAGGAACGGCGCGCTCGGTGACGGGCGCGTTGCGTGGTCTAGAGCAAATAATAAACTTGCAGTTTAGGCCCTTGTCCTTGACCATCTGCTCGCCCAAAAAGTCTGCCAAGCGACGTGCTGTGGTAATACTGGTAGATTTTTGACTGCCGTACTCTTCCAGCGTCTTGGACATGCTTCGGTTCTCCGAAATAAGCTCCATGAGCTCTTCGTCCGCAAGCGTGGACCCCTTGCTGTGTAAGACGTCCAGCCACCGATTCGCCACCTTGGCCACGGCCGCGTAGCACTGCGCCAAGTCCTCACCCTCAAGGAAGAACTTGAAGATTTGCTGCTGAAAGATCTTGATGAGCTTGAGCTCACCGCGTCGCTTGACCTCGAAGCCCTTGAGTTCTGCTAGGCTGCCGTCGTCGTTGAACACGGCATATCGCTTCTTCAAGTTCTTGTCCTCTTCCTTCGACGTTGGTAGAATCATGGCCTTGTAGGGGCCGTCGACTTCGAAGAAGATGGAGTTGTCGCTGTGGGTCTCATACTTGAACGTCTTTTGATCGACGAGCGTCTGGTACTGGTGATTCGTGAAGCGGTCGTGTACGAGATGGTTCAACATGACACAAGGGTACGAGATGTTGAGCTTCTTGCCGTTCTTGAGCTTGAACGAAAAATTTTCGGGAAACGTGGCCGGCAGCATACACCAAATACCGTCAGTGTCCAGTTCCAGTGGGCGGCCGAGGCGCTCGACGAGCTGTCGGGCCATCTGAATGATGGTGGCTCCAGTCAGACACGTCACACCGGCCATTTCCATGGAATACCAGCGGGAACCCTTTCTCATGACGTAGCCGTAGAAGGAGTTGAGAATGACCTTGTGTGCAAGCTGCAGAGAGTCGTACAAGATGATCATCTTTTTGGCCGCATCGACGTCGGTACCAGAGGCGCCCGATGACTTCAGCGCTTCAGTCTTGCCCTTCCAAACCTTGGCCTTGCCCTTGTAGTCGTATCGACGATCACGAAAGTCTCGCACGGTGTTGATGTAAAAGGGATTCTCGCGCTGGCAGATGATGGCTTCTCGGACGATGGTAGTAGAGTCGTGAATTTTGTGGTACACTTTTTGCGAGAACAGCTGAAGGCGTTTCCGGACGAGGCCGGCCTGCTCGTCGGCGCTCAAGTCCTGAAAGGTCCGCATCGGTGCTTGAGGCGTCTTGCCGGGAAACCTTTCGTTCTCGAGCGCGTTTCGAATCATGTTGTATTCGTCGCGCTTGGCCGGCATGTACTCTCCTCGCCACGCCCACGGTAGCCGCCTATCGCACGTCTTCCCCGGTCGATTGAAGTCGCAGGCCGCGCAGTCAGACTCTGAAATCATGGAATCCGGCTGCAGTCGATTTGTAGTCATAATGTTGGGGTACATGGATGCGACGTCCAAGTGGTAGATGAGCGGCTGCTCGTGTCGGTTTGGAATCTCCTTGAGCTTTGTCAACCTCTCGACAATCTGCTGCTTGACCTCTTCGTAGTTTTCCACGTCGTCAAAGTTCTTCTTCTCTTCGACGGTAATGACGAAGCGCAAGGCGGAGTCCAAGTCTCGGATCAGTTCGTCGACGGCGCCGGGGTCAACGGCAAAGTCGACAGGGATATCGGATCGAAACACACCAGCCTCGATACTCTCGACGTGACCGCCGACATACGTCTCGGAGTCGAGCAGGTGGCCATCCCAGAACGCCTCCTTTGGCGACTGGTGCTTGTTTGGCAGCACAATCTCCTTCTGATATGCCTGCACCATGAGGAGCATTTCGCAAAGCGTGCCCGTTCCTTTCCTCAGCGTGTCATCGCCTCCCAGCGGCAAGATGGTACACAGCGAGAAAATGAAGGGGTGCACATACTTCATGTACAGGTAGTATGTCGCGACTGCGTCGGAGACGGAGTACTCGGCAAGCGTCTGCGGGCGCTCGCTTGCGTACGGAGTCATTAACTCTGGGTCCAGCTCGTCGGGGTCGTATCCTAGCTTTGCGACGGTGACCGCCTTCAGGCCTCGAGAGCCCTGGGGCAGATACGAGTCTCGGTTCACCCAGTGAAAGCAGTCCATGTGCACGCTGTAGTTGCACTTGAACTGGTCCTCGCTGTCCTTTTTCCACCCAATCTCTTGGTACATGTCGATGCCGTTGACGCTGGCTCGCGCTTCGACAAAGGGCCAATCGAAAAAGTCACCGTTGTAAGTGGCAATGACTGTGGGACGGGCCTCCTTGACATGCAGGAAGAACCGCTCGATGAGTGCCTTTTCGTTTGGTTCGTTGAAGATCATAAAGGGTCCCGGATATTCTGGTTTGGGCGTGTAATCAAAGTCGCCAATGTCTTCTGAGATGATCTCACGGTTGGTGATGAGGAATCCTTGCCCGTCAATCATGTACGAAATCATCATGATTTGGTCGATGGCGGCGTCGGGGAACTTGAGCGGCAGCTTGGTGGTTTCGATATCGAAGGCGAGCACGACGGGGTCCGCCGGCAGGGAGCGCTCCTCATTGAGCCACACCTTGGTGACTCCATGCTTTGCCTCGACAAAATACCACTTTCCAACCCGTATGTCTGTTGCGGTCAGATTCGGTCAAGGAGAGCCGCGCTCGGACACTTACCCAAGTCTATCATTACCCGCACGTGGTACGGTACATCATATTCGCGAATGTCGACAATGTAATCGCTCGCGTCTGCGAATGAGTTGTTCATGGCTCGGTCATTATTTCGTAAGTCATCGTCGAAAAGGTCAAAGTTGCCGCTTGCTCTGTGGTCATCGGTCAATCGAGGGTTGAATGCGAGGAACGGGTCGGCACATACGAGACCACCTCGGCGTATGCGTCCATCGCATTCATGTTCTTCTTGTTCTTCTCCGCCACGGGCATAATGTCTCTCCTCGCTGCCATGAGGTCATTGACGTTGGCAAACTTGAGCTCGAGAAACGTCCGCCGGTGGCCGAGCAGGTGGTTTGGCAGGCTCAGGTCGTCCTTTTCGATCCTGCGGATGCCCTTGACGACACCGCCGCCGGGCACCCTCTTGACCCACTCCTCGACCTCGGACTCGTGTCCCCTCTTGACCGCGATCAAGAAGTATGGATCGTACTCGACGGTCGCCTTGAAGGTCGATCCGTCGAGCTCGATGAAGTAGCAGTCGAGCGCCGCCCGTCCACCAGGTATCCTCTCATCCTCGATGGATGTGGACTGGACATTGACGAGCCAACCTTCCTTCTTCTTGCCGCTCTCGTACCGGCCAAAGCCCATGTTCTCGTCTATCGTCTGGGCCTGCCGTGTGCGCTCCCACTTTTCGTCTGCGGATGTGCCCTCTGCCCGGGACGAGGCGGCGAAGGTCCGTGTTCCCCGTCCGCCATGGTATGCCGACTTGCCGCCGCGGCGAAAGCCCTTTTGCGGCCGCCGCAGGCTTGTGTTGGGCATCGTGTCGAGGTGCTGGAAGCTCGAGCTATGTGAGGGTATCGGCTCGGGCCTGGGCTGGTGCGGCCGTCATGGGATTGAGCTCGCGCGCCCTGGGTCGGTCGGGGAGAGGTGGACGATCTGAAGCGGATTACGAGGTCGAAAGCAGATGGCACCCGTGCAATGGAATCCCGTTGAACGCCTGGTCGTGAATCGGCGTCGAGTTGCTTTCTGGCTGGCAATCAAGGTGGTGCTTGTCAAAACAGCCTGTGGCTCAACCGTGGCCGACAAGGGAGACGCGCTTCGACGCGTCCAGCGCGCCAGTGACACGCCTATTTTTCCGCCCCGCGACTGGCAGTTTAATGGATTCCGGTGGGCCCCGCGCCTCAGCCACAGCGGGTCGGCGTCCGGCCTGCCCTGCTGGCACAAGCCACTGGGCCGACGACTCGCCAGGCCATTGACGGGGCGCTTCCACCACGACGGCCGCATTGTGGGCCGCATGCCGAACATTTCGGCGTCATCGTCCGGGCTTCCTCCAACGCTCTCAACCGACCTCGACCGCTCCCGAACCCGTTCCCCGCGCCCGGGACTCAATTCCGCCACAATCGCCAGGCGCCTTTCATGCCACACACTGCGCCGCCGCAGAGGTAGCCTGCAATGGCGCCAAACACCCCAACCGAGCCGACACCGGGCCCGGACCAGAAGACGCTGCACGTCTGGTCGAAACCGATAGAGCAAAAGGACGGGCAGGGCCAGGATGGAGCAGGGACGCCCAGCCCGCAGGGCCGACCGACATTGACAGATGCCGTCGCCACGATAAAGACGGAGGATTTCGCAAGCGTGGCCAGCACGCCGTGCGCGCGCAACGGCTTCCTGACGGGAATCGCCTCGGGCGCTGGCGTCGGAGGCTTGAAATTTGTGCTTGGAGGTTGGTGCCGGGCCGTCGTGTTTGTCTTCCTAGCTGCTGAGGCATACTGACATGTCCCTAGGAAACGCAATCAAGGCTGCAAACTGGGCCGTGGGGATATTCGTCCTTGGCAGCACCCTGTCGTACGAATACTGTCAATATCAACGGCGCGTCGAGAAGATACAAATGAAGAGGCACATTGAGATTGTCTCGGAGAACAGAAGAGAGCAGGCGCGCAAGCTGGCCGAGGAGAAAAAGGAGAAGCTGAGGATAGAACAGGAGACCAAGGCCGCGCAGAAGCCCTGGTACAAGGTTTGGTAGCGGTTCCTGTGTACAATACGGTGTACGAGTATAAAGACAGAGCATGCACACTACAGGAGAGGGAAGCCGAGTGCAAGTGAATCATAATTTCATAGAGCGGCGCTGTGAGAATGAATTGATGAGCGAGTCAGATACCCGACCCATGTCGACATGCCATGTCGTCTCCGTGTCCCAAGTCCCACGCAACGCCAAGAAGCCAAAGCAGCAAGTAGGCCTCGTCTGTCGAGTAAACGGGCCGCACAAACGCCTGCAAGAAACCATGTGCCCATGTCGTCTCGTCGTGATATCCCCGAGTGGTTGTTTCATCCATTGCGCCGACCCTGATTTGGCTTGTGCTCGTCAAATCGTCGTCACGGCGATCTTTTGGCTCTCGATATCGATGAACCGGACCCGTCGCGTCGGCGACTTCTTTTTCACCACTCCGCCACCGGATGGCGTTGGTGTTCCTCCTCGTCGTCGTTGGCTCCGCCGGGCGCGGGCCTCGCTCTCCTCGCGCCTCCGGTACTCGGCCATCTGTTGGCGGCGCTTCATGGCGCGGACCTGCGCCAGGGCCGGTGTAGGCTTGAACCCGACGCCGTTGATACCGGTGCCGTCGTCGTCCTCATCGTCTGGGTCGTAGATTGTGATTTCGTCCTCGTGCCACGTCAGGGCGGCGCGCACCGGATCCGTGACGGATGGCTCGTCGGTGGAGGCGCTGCCCTTGGCCTTGTCTCTGGCGGACGGCGATTTCTTCAGCCGGAGCGGAGGGGTGCCGGCACGGCGTCTGCCCGGGGCCTTGGGGTGATCCTCGACGACGGGCAGCTGCACAGGACGGCCAGGGGTCTCGGTGGACGCAATGGCGACGTCGGGTCGGGGCGGCGACGCCTCTGTCGCAGGCGGTTCGGGGTTTGAATTGGCGGCTTCGGCATTCCGGGGTGTAGATGGCTCGCCGGACGGCGCTGGCGCCTCGGCGACGTCTGACATGTCCTCGTCGGGCCGCGGGCGCTTGTTCGCCGTCATGGCGACATCGTCATCGCTGTCGTCTCCGTCGCGGTGGCTGTCGCGGGCGGCGTCGTCGACCCCGCCCCCACCACCAGCGCCCCCGAGCGCTAGGCCGCGGAATCTGTGGGCGACCCGCGAGGCCGGGCTGCTGCCGCCGTCCTCTGCCGGCTGCGTCGTGGACGGGTCGAAGGAGAACTTGATGGGCGTGATGGGCAGGTCCTGGCCGCGCTTCCGCTTGGGCGTGGCCTTGGGCGATGGCTCGGCCATCGTTGGTATGCGTGGCCTGAATCCGTCGTGCTGGCCGTTGCGGGCGTGCAGGAGGTGGCTTGGGGGTGGTGGTTGTGCACTCCACTGGTGACGGCACCTCGAGCTGCCGGAGCAGCGGCCGGGTCGCCTGCGTGGGCTGGCTGACTGGCGGACCGCCCTGAATCAGGGCGTATCTTGCGAAGGAAGGCGGGAAACCGGTCGGCAGCTTCCAGCCGTGCGTCGTTTTCCAGAACGTCTCGCAGCTGTTCTTCAGCGAGCGACAAGGAGCCAGGGGAGCAGAGCTGTGAGCCTGTTATTGTAGGAGGAAGAGGAGCTGCATTGCGGGAGCGGTGCTCGAGGTGGGCCGCGGCGTCACCGTGGATGGTGTGCAGGTGAAAGGAGCCGAGCCTCGCTGCTGGGCCACTCACTGGTGGTGGTGCACTGGTGAAGGCAGGTGGTGATGGTGGCCTAAACCACGTGGAGGGCTGGCTATCAAGTCACGTTCCACATGCCAAGTCGCAAACGGCTTTCGGCCACTGATTGACTAGAAGCGCCGTCTTTCAAATCATATGAACATGTGCGTGCACCCGCAAAGTCGTGCATGCGTGCTCTGGTAGCTGGTTACCAAAGCCGCAGCGCACTCGGTATGGGAGCATTTAGAGATGCTAACGTTACTCCCTGCAGGTGCTGATGAAATACGCTGACCCGTGCGTTGAGACGGCCATTTCATGTCAATGCGCTGCGCCTTGGAAATCGTACTCTGTGATTGACGGCACTGTGTTACCAACTTCGCATAACAAGCCATCTCTGCGTGTAATTTGCTGGCTGACTCGAAGCTTTCCCACTGCTCTTTCATCCCGTGCCCATGGCGCTGAACCTAGGCCGAGGATTGACTATACCAAAACACACTCAGGCCACCCCTTGGCCTAGGCATTCCTACACAAAGCAATGGTATTGTGCATGAAAGAACAGGCATATTCCGCTGCCACAGGGCATTGTACTGATACCAGTAAAGGTAACAGTGTTTTATGGACAAGAGATCGTCGTAAAGGAGCCGATCCCGGACTGGCGTCTGGGACCATCCTTGTGCCTCTGTGCCCCAGCATTTCATTAACGTTGAGGAACTCGTTCTGTTTTGGGCGACAATCCGCCACCTTCAGAGTGAAGAATGCATTACAATGCAAATGGATATCTCCTGGTGCGACAAGCAAAGACGACTTTTTGGTTTCAACACACACCCAGCGGCAAACAAAGGCGTACTGGCCAGCCGCTCTCACCCGGCATGTTGAATGCCGCACACGAGGCCGCTGCGGGCGTCCATGTCTGACATCCCTTGCCTGTGTTCAGTACTGCTGTGCCCTGGCCTCAGCCTGCAGCGCCTCAATCCTGAGTGTATACTGCCGCGGTTCTGTCGATCCCGCCATCCTGCTAAGATGCTCCGCGAGGATTTGAAGCTCCAGAATCTCATCCTTCATGAGATTGAATGCGTCGATTTCGCCATGCGGCATCACAAAACTTCTTCGGTGCATCGTCTTGGGCAGCGCTGGTTTGATTCTCATTGAAATCATCATGCCCTTGATGCCGTCACCATTCAGGTCGAGACCCGTCCGCTCCCTGACTCCCTCCTTGATCCGGGACTCGGTCAGGTCCTCGAAGTTGCAACCGGGCTCCCATGGCCAGTATTCAAAATTTGTTGTCTTGATCACATATCTCCATCGGTATCCCGGTTGGGCGGGGCTTTGTATCTGAGGCTCGTTGGGGACGCTGGAACCGCCGCCAGATGGCACCGAATGCTGTTCTGAGCTCTCGAATGTCTGTTGCGCAGGCAGAGCTTCAAGTTGGGCCGGCGAGGGATCTGTCGGCTCGATTATTGGGCCTTCGCCAGTTTGTACCGTATCCGTCGTCTCAGGTGTCTCAGAGAGTGTCTGCGGCACAGTCGGTCGAGTCGCCAGTACTGGCAGTGGTGGTGCTGGGTGACCGGAGCCTTCGCCCAACTTGGCCTGCTCAGGAGGCTCTGTCAGGGCCCGGTTAAAATCCCGCCCTCGTGTATGTGATGACTCCCTGGTGAAGCATGTTCTGGACCAAAACGGGGGTGGTGGAGGTGGCATGCTGGTTGTGTCGGATGCCCTTGCCTGTCGCGATGCAGCCTCCTCAGCATCCGTTACAGTCTGCGGCGCATCGGTAGTCTCTTCTCGTCTCATCGTCGGGGATCTGTTGCCGGTATGGCGGTGTTCTAGATCTGGCAGCTCAGGGTCTCCCGCTTTTGCGGACTGTCCAGCTGATACATCCGCCGGTGTCATCTGAGGCTGGTGGCTTTCGGTGGCGAAGCGTGCTTGGACTTCCTCTATTCCCTGCAGGACTGCACCCCTCACATGGATGTCGCCAGCCAAGGACGGGGTTCTCGACGGCGCCGGAAACTCGTCAAAGTTTCCTTCGGGGAAAGGATCAAGTTCCCGTGATGTACCCTCTGCGCCGCTTGTCTCATCGTTGCCAGAGCTGGGACGAGTTGTTGTCGGTTCTGCGCAGGAGATTGTGGCTTCATTGGCGAGCTGCCCATCCAGTTCCTCTTGCATGGGCTGAACTGGGGCTGGGTTTGGGTCCGTCTGCCTTGACGCTGTCGAGGATGTCCTGAACGGCCGAAATACAGAAGTGCTGAATGGAGTTTCCTCAGTCTCGGGATACCTCTGTTGCATCTCGTTTCTCTGAGCGGCTTCGTGAAAGGCTCTACCATTAATATCGACCGGTTCAGCCACTGCTTCGGACTCCTGGAGGTGGGCTGTTGCTATCCCTTCTGCTCCCCGATCAGGTTGCACTGAGTCGGATGCATGTACTCTTGTGGGATTGAGCCGGATCCGCACCGGTCGCTTGGCCTTACGGGCATGATGCTCGCCACCGCTGTCACGTTTGCGCTTGGCACTTCCGCTTGCCGGGGTTTTGGGGTTGTCCGGGGCCGTGAAGCGTTCAACAACTTCCGGATCGGCTTGGTCGCTTCGGTCAACAAGTCTGCGTTCGCGCGCAGACCTGCGAGATGGCTCAGCGGCCCTCGTCCGATCCACTACCACTCCTCGCAGGCCGTTTTCTGTCATCACGGAGCTGGCCCGCATCACAGCTTCAGGAGCTCGTGGCCTGTTGCCTTCCCCTTCAAGCAATGTTCGTGAGTCGTAGACATTCTGATGTGAGTGATGACTCTTGGAGCTTCTCGACGAGGCCCCCTGAGATCGTGGACGAGCAAAGTTGGTGTGAGAGTCCGAAGGAGCCGCGTTCGGCCTGTCTGGCCTGCCCGTTGCTGTTTTTACTGACGCTCCTAAATTTGTCTTCCTTCTATGTTTGCCGTTTTGCCACTTGAATATGTTCTTTTTGATGATGATCTGATGAAGACGACAGCGGATGCTGCAACGACGCATGTCTCAGTTAGCAGGATGATAAACGCGGGACACGAGGGATGCTGCACTTACAGGTCATGGTCTCTCGTATATCGAAGTTTGTCGTTGTAGTATCGAGCAGCTGGGTTGTCGGGCCAAAGCTTTCGTCCGTGTTGTTCCAGAAACTTTTCCGCCGCCTCAGCAAGACCGCGCTGATGGACTTCTGATCTCCACCTCCTCAAATGACAACCGGATATTCCAGCCTCTGAGACAAAGTCTTCCCTAAACTGATCAAGTCGTGTCGTAAACGCTTTACCCAACTCAGTCGTGCGATGATGGATGCCCAAAAGAACCTCCAGCTCCGAAACGCTGGGAACACGTTTGGCGTAGTAAGGCACTTCAGTTGAGTACGTCGAGGCCATCGTATCAACAGAAAGCATTCCCGAAGACAAGGGAAGCTGAGAATTCGAACGAGCAGCTGCAACAGTCGAAGTGTCCATTAAATGGCAACCATGTCTCCATCACGACGGGCTGCCTGCCGCTGTTGTGCGCGAACCACGTCGAAACCGAGAGAACAAGGACGAGGCGGCCTCCAGGCACATGACAGTGTTCCAATAGCGTGAAACAACCGGTGTGTTAGTCCCCATACCCCTTTTTTACATTTTGTCGAAACGTTGCCGCCGGTTTCCTCTTCCCTCTCACCATCGATGCGCTGTAGCCCTCTGTAACGCCGCGGAGCGCACCCTGGAGCAATGCCTTGTCATTCACTGAAGGGTTTTCCACTTTAAACAGACCCCAGCAAGTAGTTTCAGCTGCCTGGACAAAAGAAAGGTTTTGTTGGTTAGGAAGCGCCCGTGCAAGACCTGTTGGTTGGACTTCGCCAATCAGAAGCCGCTTGGAGACGGCAGAGACCCTTGTCCTGCTGCAATAGACCCTTTTCGTACACACCTTCATTGCGTGGCATTGCGTGGCAAGGCTTTTTCTGTGAAATTCAATTACAACTTATGCAACATAGTTCGTATTCGACTAATTAGAGAAAGTCGGCCGATATTTAAGCTGCGATAATAGCTCGCTATGTGCGGCTCTAGCATATAAGTAAGGAGTCCTAGAATTTAGGGATGTCTCAGTAAACTGGAACTTTCACTACAGTTAAAAATCGGTAGTACGGACATATACGAGACGATCCTCGGCGGGGGCATCTGACCATTCCGCGACGGACCGCACCAGCAATCGCATGACTCGCTCGCTCGTAACAGCCTGACTTCCCCCGTCATGCAATGTGCAACAAGCAGCCAATGAGGGCAAATTGAAAGACGGAGGTGTTTAATAAATCCTGCCTTCTACCATTTGATCTCATCCACACCATTTCGTCGCACTGTGCCAGGCAACCTCCCAGATGTCTCCTTCCAGCCCGAGATCATTGAGATCACACTCGTCAGCTTCATGGACTCTCCGGCCAGATCACGCCACATACCGCGTCGTTCACCGTGCTGTACTCTGCTACTTTGGAGTCTCGCAAAACGTGTGGGCGGATAGTGGCTGGCGATGCTTTGAAAGTGTTCACCAGGCTTGACATAGTGCGTATGAGTGAATCGCGCACTGGCACGGTAACGGAAATGAGCGCGTTTTCTCTAATGGCTGATCGGTATCTTGTTCATAGTGTTGCGGTAAGCTGATCAGTGAAATGGCTGTGACTCTGCTCCGCATTGCTGCCTGAGGCCGGAGAATGTCTGTGGAGAGGATGTCTGGTGCCAGCCACGATATCCCTGTCTTGCACCTCAGGCAACAATGAGGGGAAAGTATGTCTACATGCACAGCTAGAACTCGACACAGCGGTAGAACCCCAAGGACATTTGCGCTTGTCGCTGCAACGCACCCATGCGACCAATGTCTCAATCCAGCTCGAAACCACTCTCAAGCCTCAAGACGGAAGTCTCCAAGCTAGCAAGACTAAGTAACGTTCAGAGTGGCCTGCCGTTTATCTTACGAGGCGCACCCGTCATCGCCATTCTCGCTGGCGAAGCGATCGCAAAGGCGACAGATGGACGCAACGCGATCGAAGAGCGAATCTTGGGTCCAGAGAAAGCAATTGAACTCGAGCCGCCGAGGCGACAGGCTCGCGAAACATTAATTTCGACATGTCAGTGGGGCAGTAGAGGGGCGGAAATGATGTGTGTAAGGTGCAGAGATGGGGGGGCCGCTGTGTCGGGATACCAAAGCTTTCACAGCTTGTCGGTACATGGATCAAGATACACACTCAATTCACCCTCCCATAGATGGTTGATTTCTTTGAACCTGAACGACCGATGATGGAACTGTTAGGGATCTTGACTATGTTACATGTACCATTGGTTACGACCGGTGTCTGGCGGGTTCGGGCCCAAATTCAGGAAGGAGATGGCCTTATATAGATATGATAATAATCTCCCATCCCTCGCCTGCAGTCTGTCCAATCTAAAGCCATGATAGCTCCAGGTTTATATCCTCCTCTGTTGTGAAGTCGCTGCCCAGGGGATGCCAGATTATCGATGTCAACCTCTTGACATTGACTGCTCAGCAACTTGAACTTCAATATGACCCCCCTGGGAGCGAGCCCCATAAGCGCGCAACAACCCGGACCCATATCCGCGTTCGCGGTGCTCGCCTCCATGTAGCAGTTGTGTCGATCGCGCTTGGACCCCGCGTCATCCGTTGGTGATGTCTCGACTGTGCATCTGTCCGTGCATGTCTCGGATGCCTGGTTGGATCGACACGAACATATGTGCTAGCATGGCAAAAAAGAGTATAAACTAAGTCTGATCATTGATCGCAGATGTGCACTGCTTAGACGGACTATGTAGGCCAAAAGCTAAGCGTTCTGAGAAATGACACGAAAAATTGCACGGTGAGATATGCTGAGATGGATTTAGTGATTGAAACAAGGAGAAGTAGACCATGTCCTCGCTGTTCTAGAGGTTTTGGGGTCATATCAGATTTGGCAGATAAGTTTGCGGCTTTTGGGATCGTACATGTGCTGCTGCAAAATTGCATTCAATGCCATGCGTGCACATGCAGCCACCCGAATGCACCTGCTGTGCCGCAGAATTAAAGACACCTCCGAAAGCTTTCCCAAAGAAAACGGCCAAAGCTCATACGAATGATGACATGTGGACTCGTGAATCAGCAAGCTTTTCAAAGCTCCTTTGCGTACACGTACGTACAAGCGCTCCGGCGACGGTGACAGCCAGCTCCCGTGTCCTACCCGGTATAGGCACGGAGTGGAGTGATGTCTCAAGCAACACAACCACCACGCATAACGAACTTAAGTTTGCTCAGCAGCTCTTTCAGTAATAACCCGTTACGGCAACACAAACACGTCAGCGTGTCACACAGGCTCTCAACCGCACATGCAATAGGTACGGCACGTACGAAGTAATTGGCATGGGCCACGCATCAGCCGCAACCGGGCCGTGGTGCAACCAAAGCACGTAAATCGTCTGATTTCCCAAAATCACACATTCCGCGCATCGGCGCCTAATTGGGACCCCACGTACCCACGTTTGCCCCTCTCCTCGACTGCTTGAAGCGCTCCAATTGCCAGGTCCACCTCAGATGTCCGCTGCGGGATGCCACCCGTCATGCGACGACGCGGGCGGACGTGCGTCCCTCGCCCACACGTCACCGACAATAGCCTAAAGTGCTCCCGTCCGATCTCACCGGCCGGGAATCAAGCTGGAGCTCGAGCTGCGTTTGACGTGCAGCTTTAAATACTTGACCACCCCCGCCAGGCCGGACGCACCCTTGACTTTTGTGACGACAGGCACAGCATTACACCACCCGCATGAACAGACGCGGTGACATCATTGTGTAGGCAAGAATTCAATTTGATCTCTTTCGTCGTTGGTGCCGTCGTCGCTGTCATTGAAGCGGCCGCCCCCTCACAATGAGTGACGCCCCCGTGGAACTCCTGCCCCTCGGGGCCCTCATCCAGTCCTTCAAGGTCAACGGCCTCAACATCGTGCAGGGCTTCCCCACGCAGGAGCAGTACGTGCGACACAACACGCCCTTCTTCGGCGAGACCATCGGGCGCGTCGCGAACCGCCTCCAGGGCGCGCGCGTCAACGACCTCAACGGCCGGGCCTACGCCCTCGCCGCCAACAACGGCCCCAACACGCTGCACGGCGGCAAGGTCGGCTGGGGCAAGCGCGTGTGGAAGGGCCCCGAGCCGGTCGGCGTGCGGCCTATCCCCGGCGTCGAGGGGCTCAAGGGCGGCGAGAGCGTCCGCTTTTCGCTCGTCAGCGAGGACGGCGAGGAGGGCTTCCCCGGCACCGTCGAGGCCACCGTCACGTACACAGCCGGCACGCAGGACGTCGCCGGCGGCAAGACGGCCAACGTGCTGGGCTTCGAGTACGAGGTCCGGCTCGTGGGCGGCGCCGACGAGACCGTCGTCAACCTGACCAACCACTCCTACTTCAACCTCTCGGGCGACGCCACCATCGACGGCACGACCGTCACGCTCGGCGCAAGAGACCACCTCCCCGTCGACGCCGGCTCCATCCCCACGGGCGGGCCCATCCCGTACCCGTCCGTCGACACCACCAAGCCTTTCGGCCTCGGCGCGACGGAGCCCAAGTTCGACTACTGCTTCACCCTGCCCGCGGACCCGTCCTCGGTGCCCATCGACACGCGCGCCCAGCCGCTCGCGCTCAACCTCGCGGCGCACCACCCCAAGACGGGCGTCCACCTCGAGGTCCTCAGCACGGAGCCTTCGTTCCAGTTCTACACGGGCGACGGCACCGACGTGCCGGCCGTCGAGGGCGCGCCCGCCCGCGGCCCGAGGAGCGCCTTTTGCTGCGAGCCCGGCAGGTTCGTCAACGCCGTCAACGTGCCCGAGTGGAGGGGGATGACGGTGCTGAAGAAGGGCGAGACGTACGGCTCCAGGATCGTGTACAAGGCGTGGGCGGATTGAGCCGCCAGCCGCTGTCATCATAATGCTTGGGTAGTTAATTTAGCAGCAAAGTACTGGGTAACACAGCGCGTGTAGACACTCGTATTAAGCCGCAAGGTGCAAGGGCGTGGCTTGGTGCCTGTCCCGTCCGACAGTAATCCCCTACAACGCCTCGCCAGAATCATCGATAACAGCTCCGCAAATGTCCCTGTACCTTGCAGCATCAAATGAACAGCACCTTGACGCCTGCCGTGTCGTATTAGCCGCGTCAGTCGGAGTCGCTGTCGTCGCCCAGAAACGCCAGGTCCGCTTGCGCCCGCCGTCTCCTAGCGGCGAACGTGTCCTGCTCGTCGTCGTCATCATCCTCGCCGTTCTTGTCCTCCGCGCCGCTGCCCTCACTCTCTTCCTCCAGCTTGGTCGACTTGCTCTTGCTCCGGCTGGCCCTGCCGCCGCCGCCCATGCCCCATAGCCGGTTCATCTCCTGAGCCGCCTCGGCCTCGGCCATGAGCTCCCGCGTCTCTCTAATCTCCCGCGCCTTGGCTTCGGAGAAGCGGCCGTCCATGCCCACGTCGGCGAGCATCTTCTTCAGGTGCCGGATCTTGGCGCGCGAGTCGTCGCCGTACTTTTTGAGCTCGTTGTGCCAGAGCTTGCGTATCCCACACTTGACGAGCTGCCCTTGGAGCTTCTTGATCTCTGCATCCTCGGGGTCGTCTGGCGAGGGCGCCTTGACGGCAGACTTTTTCGTCGCCGATTTCGAAGCCCGAGCCGGAGCTTCTTTCTGGTCCTTTTTCTTGCGCTTGGGGGGTGGTGGCTCGTCGATGACGTCCGAGTATTCCTCTTCCTCGTCTACGGAGGGCTTAGCCTCCTCGACGTTAATAGATGACTCGGCGCCGTCGTCTGACTCGTCCTTTGCCGTAGTAGCCTTTGGCGTAGTAGCCGCAGATGCTTTGGCGCTGTCATCGCGCGTCGGGGCTTTCGTCTCGGCACGAGGTCGGTCTTTGGCTTTGGGCTCTTTCTTCTTCTGGGCAGGCGAGCTGTTCGGGAAGTCGTCTTCCTCGTCCGATGCGGCGGCTTTAGATTTGCGCCGCGGCGCAGGCTTTGGCGGTGACTGTGGCTCGTCTTCCTCGTCGCGTGCGTGGCCGTCTTTCTTGGTAGGCTTGCTCGGTTGTGAAGCGCGCCTCTGGCGCTTGCTCTCGGTCTCCTGGGGCGCCTGAGACTGCCGCTTGATGCCATTCTTGGGTTTGGGCGATTCTGTCTCTTTCTTCGTCTCTGGCACCCACCCGTCCAGCAGCTTGGTCTAACGTTGACCTGGTAAGCAATCAATTACACGGTAGAATCAGGGGGGGATATGTCTGCGCACCACGTATTCCTTTATAAGCGCCTTGCTCCGCTGCTTCCAGTCGTCGCTGGCAAAGAAGCCCTCGCCAAGGCCGAGCTTCTCCTCGACATGGTGGCGGACCTTGTTGACGGTGGTGGTGTCCGGGTCGGCAGTGAAGACGCGGTGCGTGCCGGCGATGAGAGCTTCCTCGAGTTCCTTGGGCGAGGGCGCCATCGCGACAATGCGCTCGATGGAACTGTAGCGCCTGAGGCCTGGGCGTATGGTGATGCGGGAGGCGTATTACACTCGTGTAGCGGCTGATCGCGTCGTGACGCGCGCTGCGGTTGAAGCTGGAGTCGCAGGCAGACCCATGCTTGCAGCTGCGAGCGGGCGGATCCTTGCGGTGCTTGGGGCTGCGGCCAATCAAGGGCGGGGAGTTGGGCGCTTGCCGGATGCGACGAGGTGCGCTGGACTCCCGGAGTTTGGGGGCAGCACCACCCGCTGAGGTCACTAAGACGCGATGGAGAAGAGAATCTTGCGGCTTCAATTGTTCACCAAACAATACCGGAAAAACACAGCGAGAACAATGACAGGGAACCTAGAGTTCATGCGACTTGGAAACACATTATTGTGAATTTTGAATGCTTCAGCGCTTCACTGAATCCCGACTCCGAAGCCGTATAATAAGCAGCACGTACATAATTTTGTCGCGGAACCTGACTGAGCCCCACTATTCTTTCAGCGCCCTGGGGGCGGCAGCTCTACTGACGTCGGCAACTGACGAAGCGCAGACAGCCTTTCAGGTTGCCCTCTCAGCTTCTCACCTCATCGCCAGCATCCAACGCGCCGCCCGTCACAATGTCGGCGTCACTGGCCCCAGAGTGCAACGAGGTCAAGGAGCACGTTCCCCCGTCGACCCTGCGCCATTGAGCAGCCGCTGACGTTTTCCCAGGCGCTATGACACGTGCTTCTTGAAGTGGTACAGCGAGAGTGAGTCCGTCCATTCGCCACCAGGAGCATCTTCTCACCGAGTCCAGAGTACCTCCGCGGCGCCGAAAAGGACAACCAGGAGTGCGCCGGCCTGTTCAAGGAATACCAAAAGTGTCTCGCTGTACGACAGAGCCCGCGTTGAAGTTGCGTGAGCGGAGATGCTGACCCTACGTGTCGCAGGTTGCGCTGAAAGACAGGGGCATCGACAAGCTCCTCGATGAAGCCCGCGAGGACAACAAGGAAAACGACGCGAGACTGAATGCGCCAAAAAGTGAGGGCTTCGTACGACCGAGGTCATAGATCTGCAAGTAGCTGACCGTGGCGCAGAGTAATGGCGGCGCAGTCGCGGTTCATGATTTCGGCGTTGGGGACACGATATAGATCGCCACTTTACAGCATTGCCTGAATGTATACTTGCATAGGGAACGTTTCGTCACATGCGGTGCCTTGTACATATGCCAATTGCCACGTCTTGCCGTCCACGCGACATAACCGTCGCCAGATGAGAGGCCCGCAGAGTCGCAACAGGTCATACCTGAGGCCGTGAGGTATCGACCATTCGACTGCGCCACGTGATTCGGAGCCGCGCCGCGCCCAGCACGGCTCCGCAGCCACACCCACAATCGCTCGACTTGGCTTCGGTGTCCCTGCCAGTCCTGGTGCAGGGATGGGTGGATACACCAAGCTCCAGCTTCCACGATCGCTTCCCTCGAGAACAGGGGCCCCGATTGCCCAACGCTCCCGTCCGTTTCCGCGCGCTGCCATTGATCCCTCAGCCTCGCCGGTCGCAGCCTCCTCCCGGCCCTTCATCGACCGTCGGCCTTGCCAGCGTCTCCCCTTGCGCCCGGCTCGAAGCCATATCCCTCGTCCACGCCCTCGCGCCCGCCGTCCCGACCGACGCGCCGTTCGACATCTCCAAACCCGACCCCAGCAGGCAGGCCCGAGCTGCGATCCCGTGCGCAGCCACTGTCCGTCCGAGGCCCCGTTCGCCCGTCTTCGCTCCAAACCACCCCGCGACGCGAGCGACTTGGCATCTATACCCAGCCGTCGACGGCATGCGTTGCCAGCAAGCGTAACAATCTATGCATCCGTTTTCCATCCTGACGCTCGGCATCTTTGTAGCTGGCTACATCACCGCCCGCTGGGACCTCGTCACCCGCCTGTATGAGCTCGCCATCTTTGCGGCGGAATACGGAGTAGTGGTATGCTCGCCCCTCGATGCGACCAGCCTTGCGATCGCGACACTCAATAACATTGCCTGCACGACAGATTCGCGTTGCCAGGGGCGTCGTCGGCTTGACTGCTCTGTTCCTCACCATTTTCCTCCCCGTCGTATTCCTCGCGAGGAAGGAGACGCATCTGGTGAGCATCCTCGGAGCCGGTTACGTTGGCCTCGTTCCGCCGCTAAGCCGTCACAGCACCCCCGCGCGCCCGGATTCGGTCTCTCGGCGCGCGAGCAGCTTCGAAGACGCGGCTCCTTCTGAGGCCCGGTCGCCTTCATACATAATAGTCGCTGGTCATGGTAGAACATGATGGCTTGATGAGAGTGTTCTGGCCGACTGACGCCTGCAGCTCGGATCGGCCTGGCGTGGTGGTGGGATGGAGAAACTCGACGCTCGACGTGCTCGTCGTCGCCATCCTCGAGGATGTGGATGTGCGTCTTCTCCCTTCCCTGCCGTTTCTTAACGACAATGTTCTGACAAACCAGGCCCGCGATGTCGAGTTCCACCTCAAGCTGGGCACGTTCTTCCGCAGCTGTCCTCATAGCCCCAACCGCATCTTTGACACCTGCGGCCACTCCTCCATGCATGTCTTGGGCGTGTCAAACGCAACGGAACCGGACGAGGTCGATCCATCCTGGGTCTGCGCCACCATGACATCCTCTTCGAAGCGCCCGACGATCGACTGCGCACGGGCATCGAGCATCCAGCTTATCCTCTACGACCGTCCCGAACCGAGGCGCATGCAGTACATCTCGCTCGACCCTATAGCGTTGGCGCTTGGGGACAAGAGCTTCCGACTAGAAGACCCGCCTATCGACGGGCCGGAGGGAGAGATTGAGAAGCAAGAGCGCAAGGCCAAGGAGACACGGCGCAAGCTCGTCGAGAAGCTAAAACAACACACAATAACCCACCGACCCCCGTCTGCGCGGGACAGGGCGTTGCCCAAGATTGTGAACCAAGTCAACTGGTCCTGGGAGCTGGATCGCACGCTGCAGAAGAATGTCGGTCGACTTGGTCCGCGCCCACGGAGAGCTCAGAGCGTTTCTGAGAGGGTTGTCGAGTCGGCCACGACCATGCGCAACTACATTCTGCGGCAGCTATGGGCGTTCTTCACCGTCTACCTCTTTCCCACCATCCGGCGGGGTTTCTTCATCTTCCTACTCGGCCATCGCATGGCGGCGGAGGTCCTCCTAATCATGTTTGAGTTTCGGCCGAAGCCAGGCGGTGCGGCGCTCAAGGATATATCAGCGACGGCGCAGCAAATCGAGATTAGGCTCCAGCAGTTTTGCTACTGGCCGATGCAATACTCGACGTTGCGGCAGCGCAAAATGAACTGGGCGAGCGTAACGACGAGTCATCCAGATTACATCCGGTTCTACAACAGTCTTTGGCTGGTCGCGAACGACGTCATCATTGGCATGGCTCTCGGATCGTACATAATCGAACACGCAGACTGGGTCGCGACACAGATTGGGGATCTGCTGAGGGAGTACACGGTCGAGGCGTTGCGGAGCAGCATTGAGTGGCTGATGGGATGGCCTGCCGGCCTGAAGCTCAACGGCGAGCTGGCAGCGTTCTTGGGTGACCTGTTTCTCTGGGTCATCGATTACTGGTCGAGTAAGTGCGCTCCCACGCCTCCAGGGACTTCCAGACGCTAACAATCAACAGGTTGCATCGACATGTTGAGCCCTTTGCTGCCGCAGCTTGTGTGGTTCATAGGCTTTTCGTCATTTGCTGGCGCCAGCATGCCCATCGCCGTCTTTTCCGACTTGCTGTCGGTGCTCACGGTCCACATCTACTCCTTTTATCTGGCCTCGGCGCGCATCTACCACTGGCAGCTCACGATACTGCAATCCCTGTTCCACCTCTTCCGCGGCAAGAAGCACAACGTCCTCCGCAACCGTATCGACTCGTGCGACTACGACCTGGACCAGCTGCTTGTCGGCACCATCCTCTTCACCTTGCTCTTCTTTTTGCTGCCGACCGTAGGCGTGTTCTACCTGAACTTTGCCATTGCCAGGATGATCATCATCTCCATGAAGGCAGGGTTCGACACGATGCTGTCCTGCCTGAACCACTTTCCGCTGTTTGCGCTCATGCTTCGAATCAAGGACCCCAGGCGGTTGCCCGGTAAGCGAGCCTGTGTTCATCAGTTGGTGAGTCGACGACATGTGCTGACTTGTAGCAGGCGGCATCCGCTTTGAACTTCGAGATACCCACGATTATAGAGCTACCGACGCTAATATGTCTAATGAGCCGCCGACGTCCGTCATTTATCTCAAGGTGGGTCATGTCGCTGGAAGCATGTCGAGGGACTCGCTAACGTCCTCGCTAGTCCATCCCGCTGAGCTTCGGTGCCATGTTCCACCAGTATTCTCAGATGGCGCATCGGATACGAAAGCACTACCTCTCGCCCCGAGTGCTATTGTGCCTCCTCACCGGCCAGTTTGTGCCGCCCATCAACCGTAAAAACCTCTACAGCCTGCAGTACAGCATGTTGCCCGCGCGGAGGGCGACGGTGTGGGAGATGTGGCGGGCGCTCAACATGGAACTGCCGCAAAAGAAGGCATTCCCGCTGCCCGCCATCCCGCCGCTGCCCAACGGCGGGCGAAGAGGCGCGGCAGGGCGGACGAGGTCGTACCACTGAGTGTTGTAACTGCCTAGACTATACCCATGTAGCAACTAGCAAAGAGCAAATAATGAAAGAGACGTTGAAGCACAGTCGCGGCGACAGCGCAGGCGGTGATTCGGTACTCCGGTGTTGGTGATTGGCTTTAGCGATGGGCATGCCCGATGACGTCGGCGACATCGATGCAGGTTGCGGCGGTGGGCGATGGTGGTGTGGCGGCAGGGGACCTCTAGTGGGGTCTGATGGAACCCCTCTCCAGGTGGTAGGTCTGGTGGTCAGTGACCGCTGTGGTGCGTTCCGCCAGCATCGACAGTCCCGTCTGCAGGTGCCAGCAGTACTGTAGCATTTGTGGGGAGACTGGCCACTCTACCCCAAGCTCGCATGACTCCCGCTGCCCCATCGTGAGACCTGCCTGCACCTTCACCACCTCGTGTTCTCGTTTCGCGCTGCCGGACTTGCTTAATCTGCAGCACGACGCGCACATATCGAGCCGGCAGTCGTGCGCAAAGGACGTACATGCCCCGCATCGCTTGACAACTCGGCTCAGACGGAGACGCGCAGCCTCCCCAGAGATAGCCCCGCGAAGGAGCATCAAGAGCATCCACCACCCGTCTGCTGGTGTCCCGTGCGTGTCAAGGGGACCAGCAGCATCTTTGGAAGCCGGCTGCCAGACTTAAACGCCCTACTCGTGGCCTCGAGGCCCGTCCATCGCCATGGATCCCAAGAAGCGCTTCTATAGGCACTTCCAGGACAGCATCGCGAGTGAGTTGCCTGGCGGATGAGCTGCTGAGTGAGTTGAATAAGCTATAGACAGCTGACCTTCTCTATCAGTTCTACAGGACCAGATTGACCAGCTGGAATCTGTGGGCGCAGTCGCGGGTGAGCGCCAGGAAGCCATTGACCATGTCCTCGCCGGCATCGCAAAGCTTCAGAACGCGGTCGCCGACGCTGCGGATGAGACGCCGTCGTATGACCGGAGACAGTATTCTGAGGTTGGTCTGTCCAGGCCTCAATTGTTTCCCCACGAGCCGTGAAGAGTGTATCTAACGGTGGCGGCCGCTTCACCTCCCTCAGACAATCAAGACCCTGCAAGACAGTCTCAATGAGACCATTGCCAAAGTCACGCCCAAGTCTCGCTTCCAGTTCAAGCGCTCAGCACCGAGCGCCAACCACGTCGACATGGGCGCACCCGAAAACGACCCGCGCCTGAACCCAGGCAGCTTCTCGCGGAACCCGCACGCCCCCCATCCCGAGCTCTTCAACGCCGTGGCCGAGGACGACGACAAGGTCGGCGACCTGCCCGCCCACAGCAACCTCAAGGACTACAACCACGAGCTCTCCATGCCGGGCCCCTCGGGCATCCGCAAGCCCAGCTTCTCCATGGCCAAGCACATTGGCATCTCGAACCAGTCGGGCCTGCACATCATCCTGCCCGAGTCGGCGGCACGCGCGACGTCGTCGGGCAGCCTCACGGACCTGAAGGACTGCATCGTCGACATGTCGGTGCCGACGGCGCAGGGCAGGCCGTTTCCGGGCCTCGCGCTCAAGAACATTAGCAACAGCCTCATCGTCGCCGGCAGGGTGAGCGGCCCGGTCCACATCACGGGCATCACGGACAGCATTCTCGTGGTGACTGCACGGCAGGTGCGTATCCACGAGTGCAGGAATGTCGACATTTATCTACATTGCGGCAGCCACCCCATCATCGAGGACTGCACGGGCATGCGCTTCGCGCCCCTCCCACACTGCTATGTATGCCATCCTTTGCCATTGCGGCCATCAAATGTGCATGAGTCGAATATGCTGACGCAAAGACAGATGACCGAGGCCGACGGGGCAGTTGAGAACCAGTGGGACCAGGTCGACGACTTCAAGTGGCTCAAGGCCGGCCACAGCCCCAACTGGACGACGCTGTCGCAGCACCAGGTTCTCCCCGAGGATATCTGGACACACGTGGTTCCGGGGCAGCCAGGGGCAAGCGTCGAGGAGACGCTGAGAAAGGTCGGGATACCGCGGAGGTAGCAAAGGGGCTGATGTACCAGGCAACAGGGTCAACTGCGCTGCCAATTGTGATATAAGTGTACCGTCTGATCCAAATTCTCCCCCAACGCCGTGCCATAAGTGATGCCGCCCGTCCCGTCCATTTTCGTTTCCGTAACGCCGTTTGCTGTAACGCATGCCCGTCCGTCTGCCCGCCGCGCCGATCCACCGTTTACATCTCCATCTTGACGTCTTCGCCGCCCGCGCCGTTCTCCTTGCCAAACTGCACGCCCCTCTCGCGCAGGCGCTCCAGCAGCTGCCGCTGGCGGTCGATGCGGGCCTCGAGCTCGGCAATCTCGCGCTGCTGGTCGTCGATGGACCGGTCCATGTCGGGCAGGGAGCGGATCTGCGCCCGCGCGTGCTGCAGCTTGTGCTTGATGCCGTCGGTCGCGCCGGGCACGTCCTTGAACGAGAGCTGCTGGGCGTTGCCGGCGCCGGCGTCGTTGCCACCACCAGCACCACTGCCGGTGCCGGCACTTGCAGCCCCGCCGTGGCCGCCGGCTCCGCTGCCGCCGCCGCCGCTGTTGTTGTTGTGGTTGTTCGCTCCCGGGGTGGTGCCCGTGCCGCCGCCGCCGGGTGCGGTGAGGCCCGAGGAGGACTGGATCCCGGCGCGGACCTTGGCCAGGACGGTGGACAGCTCGGAGAGGGTGTCGAGGTCGTCGGGGGAGAGCGTCGGGGGGAGGGCGAGGGCGTGCCGCGACGATGGCTGGGCGGCGGCCATGTTTGCGCGTGGGAGTTGTAACTTGCGTGTGTGTGTGGTTATATGCGCGCGTGGATGGGCACCGGCGGTCGTCGGCGAAATTCTGCAGGGCCGGGCGTGGGAGTGGGTGCGCGCGCGCGCGTGGGACGTTTGACTGGACTGGACTGGACTGAGGCTGGACGAGCTGCGAGAGCGGAGCTGTTTCGAGAGGCGCAACGCGTGCGGCTGCTTATCGGCGGTGGTGTTGTGGGCAAACGTACGTTAGTCAGTGGCCCAGCAAGCCAGCAAAATGACGGGTTATCGGCAAGCCATGACATCGCTCCATGCTGGGATGGGCCAAAAAAAAGCACCCCACCACCTCATGTTTCCATTCCGTCGCAGCTCCGGGGGCGCGCTCCAAATAGCGCAGGCTCTTTTTCTTTCCTCTCTCTCTCTCTCTCTCCCCTCTCTTTCCATCATCACCACACAGGCCAATTGGCAAACTCTTTTTGATTTTTCTCTTGCAGTCGCTCTCGAAGCGTTGAAACAACCAGTCCGACCATGTCCAAGACCGAGCACAAGGCTTGCCTCAGTACGTCGTCTGCTTCCACTTGCCCCCCGTCTTGCCCCTCCTCCTCCTCATCGTCATCGTCGCCCCAACCGTTGCCCCGCCAAGGGGCCGCCGCCGCGTCCCGCGATGCGCACCGGCCCTCGACGCCTTCCACGCCGTCGCCGCAACGCCGCGTGCCGGGGCGACACGAGCACGGGACGACACCCTCGTCGCCGCCGTCGCAGCAGCAGAAGCTGCGCGGCAGCCCCACGGCCCTGGCCTCTGCCCCCCGCCACCGCCGCCCCGACTACATCCTCGTCGTCTGCTTTGTCCTGGTCTACCTGGAGCTCGGATGGCTAATTCTCTTGGTCTTGCGCTCGCACAGTCGTCATTGATGGCTGGGGCATCCCCTCGGAGCAGAGCCCCAAGGATGGCGACGCCATCACCAACGCCAAGACGCCCGTCATGGACGCCCTGTACGCCGACGCCGACGGTTACACCGAGCTCGAGGCCTCGTCCCTCGCCGTAGGCCTGCCCGAGGGCCTGATGGGCAACTCCGAGGTCGGCCACCTCAACATTGGCGCCGGACGCGTCGTCTGGCAGGACGTGGTCCGCATCGACCAGACCATCAAGAAGGGCGAGCTCAACAGCAACGCCGTCATCAAGAAGACGTTTGAGAGCGCCGCCAATGGCAACGGCCGGCTGCACCTGTGCGGCCTCGTCTCTCACGGCGGTGTCGTAAGATTTACCCACATTCAGTCCGGCCTCAAATTCTCAATCTGACTTTTGGAAAACAGCACTCCAAGCAGACTCACCTGTACGCCCTGCTCAAGGCCGCCAAGGAGTACAAGGTGCCCAAGGTCTTCATCCACTTCTTCGGCGACGGCCGCGACACCGACCCCAAGTCCGGCGCCGACTACATGCAGGAGCTCCTCGAGAACCTCAAGGAGATTGGCGTCGGCCAGATCGCCACCGTCGTCGGCCGATACTACGCCATGGACCGCGACAAGCGCTGGGAGCGTGTCGAGATTGCCCTCAAGGGCATGTGCCACGGCGAGGGCGAGGCGAGCGAGGACCCCGTCGCGACCGTCCGTGAGCGGTACGCGCGTGGCGGCGGCAAGGACGGGGACGAGTTCCTGACGCCCATCATTGTTGGCGGCGACGAGTCTCGCATCAAGGGTATGTCTTTCCACTCCCAGAAGTGCAGCGGCTGGTGCTGATTGCCCCCCAAAGACGACGACACCGTCTTCTTCTTCAACTACCGATCGGACCGTGTCCGTCAAATCACCCAGCTCCTCGGCGACGTCGACCGCTCCGTCCTGCCCGACTTCCAGTACCCCAAGATCAGCAAGCTCGTCACCATGACCATGTACAAGACGGACTACCCCTTCGAGGTCGCCTTTGAGCCCCAGCGCATGGACAACGTCCTCGCCGAGTGGCTCGGCAAGCAAAACGTCGAGCAGGTTCACATTGCCGAGACGGAAAAGTACGCCCACGTTACCTTTTTCTTCAACGGTGGCGTCGAAAAGGTCTTCCCTCTGGAGACCCGCGACCAGGCCCAGGACCTTGTCCCCTCGAACAAGTCTGTCGCTACCTACGACCAGGCCCCCGAGATGTCCGCCGACGGCGTGGCCAACCAGGTCTGCAAGCGCCTCGGTGAGCAAAAGTTCCCCTTTGTCATGAACAACTTTGCTCCCCCCGACATGGTCGGCCACACGGGTGTCTACGACGCCGCCGTCATTGCCTGCGAGGCGACCGACAAGGCCATTGGCAAGGTCCTCGAGGGCTGCAAGAAGGAGGGCTACATCCTCTTCATCACCGCCGACCACGGCAACGCCGAGGAGATGAAGTTTGAGGACGGCAAGCCCAAGACCAGCCACACCACCAACAAGGTGCCGCTGCTCATGGCCAACGCCCCCGAGGGCTGGAGCCTGAAGAAGAACGGCGGTGTCCTGGGCGACGTTGCCCCGACGGTGCTGGCCGCCATGGGTCTGCCGCAGCCCGAGGAGATGACGGGCGAGTCGCTGCTGGCCAAGGACCTTAAGAGGAGTGCTGAGTAAAGCGGCGACCGCTCTAAATTGGACTTAAGAGTGTAGATGATGATGATGACGAACGGAGATTATGACGAGAGGAGTTGAGGAGTGGTGTAGAGATAAGACGCCGGTTCGTGCGACTTGAAAATGGGTTGATAGACAGCAAAAGCATTTTGTGCGCAGACATGCAGAAATATACAAGACACTTGATACAAGGCGTGCAAAGAATAACTACTAGAGCCACTCACTGGCCATGTTATACGGACTTTGCAGAACAGCTTGGCTCGTAGTTGTGGTCTTCGTACATGAGCAACGAAACCGCGAAATGTCATGGGCGACTACCTGTGAGGTCCCTAGGATAGACATATCCGCATCTTAGGAACAAAATGCGATGGCAGCTCATGTGAAACATTTCGGTTCAAGGAAATTGCAGGCTAGTCTTCCAGCCGGAGCAACATATCCGATAGCTATCCCAGAATGGAATTATAGTAAGCCAATTAGTGCCTCTGCAGCTCTTCGGCAGCTGGGCTCCCGGCCATAGCGCCGGAGGCCGTGCAGGGTAGCTAGGTAGGCAACGTTGGTACTCATCTAGTCACGCCCGTCCGCAAGGCTTGGTGGGTTATTTAGGACTAGTAGTGTTCAGCTTGGATTGCACGATGGGGTTAGTTGGGCGGCTGCGTGCCGAACGAGGGGAGCATGGGAGGCACGCCGTAGCACCGGGGGGTACGGCGGCATGTGTAGGCGGCGGGCGAGGGAGACACGCGATGTGTAAGTGCTAGCCTGCTGCTGCACAGAGACTTGGGGCAAGGGTCCAATGCAGTGGCCCAAGGGTCCAAGCTGGATGAGTTCTTCAGTAGCTAAACCGCCGGTTCGAGGATGGCCTGGAGTGAACAATGCCGTCTGGGGCGGGGAGGGCGCCGTGATCGACGTCCAAAGGGTCCGGGGCGCGCCTCGGGAAACTACTCGATGGGCCGCCGGTCCAGGGCGTCTAATTGTCATGAGATCCGGGCCGGCCAGGTACGACATCAAGAGGGGGAGTACATCAAGGGGGTGTGTCCCAAAGACACGGAGTCCACGAGGCCAGATCCACGCCAAACATCGGAAACTTCATGAGTCTTCGACGGCAAAAGATGGGAAAGTATGGTGAGATGGGCGAAACGAAAACGAGTCAACAGATCTGAGTCCTGACCGAGACGGGGATAGGCGAGCACGCGGACTTGGCTCGGCGACAGGGCCCCCATCCCGGCAGCCGTGATCTCTGTTGCTCGTTGCCCTGGGACGGCTCCATGATCTGGACTACCGACGCGTGCCTCCGAGATCGAGACAAAGGTTATCTGCCATGAACGCGGCAGCCGCCCAATCACGGCGGGACGTGGCAGAGGCGCAACCCCCCCTTTGTGGCGTCCGCGTCGCGCCGCGCGGGAGATGCACTCTGCAGGTTTATTTACATTGTACATTGTTGAAGGAGGGCGGTCCCCCTTTTTGCCACCTGCCCTGAATCTGCAGTGCTTGCCCAACGCAGGGTGCTGCGGCAGGGCTGGAGCTGACGGCACATGGCGATGATGGATGGCAACTGGCCCGGCATCGGAAGCCGGGCCTGCGGTGCATACACGGGCAGTGGTCCACACCCCGGGGCGGATGTGGGGCGTGGGCGCCGGGCCATGACACGGCGGCGTTGCAGCGCCCAGCCCCTCGAAACCGTCTCCCGTTTTGGCCCGTCTGGCCTGCGTCACCGGCTCCGTTTGATGTCGACGACCACGGGAGCGGCATACAGAATCTGACGGAAAGACGAGGAGGAGGAGGACCCTGAATTATCAGGCCCGCTTGCGTCATGGCTCGAAAGGGGGGGTTCCCAAGGACCCTTCGCCCGCTGACCGACACGGGACCCTGCCTCGAGCTACGTCAGCGGGTGCCCGACTGGGGAAGGGATCGCCGGCGGGAAGACGAGACGCAGAGAGCGCGAGGGTGGATGAGAGTGGGAAGAGGGCGACTACCCTGGATTATTATGTACATAACGGGGGTCAATGTGTGTGTGTGTGCGCGTGAAGAGAAAGAGAAACGCACGCCGGCGCTGGCATGTCTCGCTGCGTTCGGCGCGCTGCAAGGGGGTCGGTCGTCTCCTCGGTTCCATTGGCGAGATGGAGGCGCAGGCTGATCCCCTCTGCGACAACACGACGTGACAGGGCGGCGAGTCCACTGTTTGTCTGCCAAGTGACGTCCGGGACCCAGCGCGCCTGCGGGCGTCAACAGGGAACATGATGCGCGCCGCCGCCGCTCGCAATGACAGCACGACCAGGACGAGGAGATGCCTTTCAAAGGCCGCGCGCCCAGAAACATCACGAGGAATGAATGAATGAATGAATGGATGAATGCACCAACCCGTCCCGGACCGCCGCCGCCGCCGCCCTCTTCGTATCTCCTCGGCTGGTGTGGCCGGTCCCGTGGCCTGGGCTGGTCTAGAACGCTCGTCTGCTGGCGCGGCGCGCGGGGAGGGGAGCAGCAGCAGGGTTGGCAAGTTGGGTTGCACGAAGGAGCAGGCATAATTCAGTATGGCACGGAATGGGAAATGCGTGGTGACTGCCGGGAGGGAGAGCTCAGGCCATTCAGCGGACGCGGAGATTCCTGGGAACCTTGCAACAGCCCAGCCGACATGGGGG